GTGTGTGTGTGTGTGTGTTGGGGGGGCCCACCCGGAAGGGAAAGACGCGGGAGCGCTGCAGGCCGCGGGGAGAGCCGCGGAGCTGACCAGCCCTGCGCTCCCTCACGCACGCCCCGAGGCTGCGGGGCGCCGAGGTCTCCGGGCGATTTTTGTCTAAATAGTAAAATGTCTGTGATTGGGAGACCTGTTACTCCCCAAATGCAAAGCTAAATAAGAGATGCACTGGCCAAGAAGCTGGTGTATCCGGCATTCAGTCCTCATCTAGCCTATGGTTTGCAGGGACTTCTGCGCAAATGAAGTCCGTTTCCCGAAGAGGACGGAGAACTTGGCGGGTGGCGTCCTGCGCGGTGGGATGGCAGGAGCGCGGGCCGCTGCCCTGCCAGGCCGCTGGAATTGCGGGGCACCAGAGCAGGGCAGCCACAGTCCGCAGCCGGATGGCGAAAAGCCTCCCGCCGTGCTGGGATTAAACTCCCGAGTAAATGTCCGACATAGAGTAAAAACTCATAGCGGCGCGGGGAGGGTGTTGACTGCCGGAGCTGGTTGTCCAAACTCGAAGCCAATCTCGAGGGCCCTTAGGGAGATTTTACAGCTACGGGGATGCCAGGGACAGTTGATGTCGCGGTTTGCAGGAGCCCTGCGGTTTTGCTGGGAAGCCGCGGAACCAGGTCTTTGGCCTGGGAGGGGCTGGACGGGGTATTTTGCTGGGGGTGATTTTACTGTGTGGCTGGGAGTAGAAGCATCAGCTCCTCTAGTGTTTTCCTAATTTGCCTGGTCTGGGGGCGGGGTGGGGAGGATGGTGAAAAATAAAGTCCACGGCTTCCCCTAGACCCCCTGAAAGGAGAATCCCAGGGCCCCAGAAGATGATGGTCCCCAGCCCCTCCCCAGGGGATTCAGGGATTGTGGGGAGCAGTCAACTGCAGCAAACACTATTTGGTCAGGGTTTGGGGAAAGGTCTGCCTGTAACCTGCCTGTCTTCTCCGTCATCCCCTTTTCTGTATCCGAATAGGGGGGTCTTGGTGTCAGTGTGTGTAGTTCAGACTACCTTTCCTCCCCAATCAGAATCTTGTAGGACAAAGAATGCATTTTGGAAAAGCATTTTAGCTGATTACTTTTTGTATTACTGCTTCCCCCATCCCTGACCTCAAGTCTCCATACTCCCCTTCTTTGATAATGGAGGAAAGGGACCCTTAGAGATTACATAATCAGTCCATTCATAAGTTGTCAGGGAAAGATCCTGTGCAAGGCTTTTTCTTTGTGCTTTAGCACCAGTTAATAACCATAATTATTTTAGGAAAAAGGTGGTTTGTAAATAGTAACTCTATGTAGTGAGGGAGAACATATGAATATTCTTCTTTTTTTTTTTAAGTTTATTTATTGATTTTGAGAGGGGAGAGGAGCAGAGAGAATCCCAAACAGGCTCTGCACTCTCAAAGCAGAGTTCCATGCAGGATCCAAAGTCACAAACGGTTAGATTGTGACCTGAGCTAAAGTCGGTCCAACTGACTAAACCACCCGGGGGCCCCACATATTAATATTCTTAGGTGATCCACTCCAGAACCTTCATGAAGCTGTGTTGAGAGGACAGCTAGGCTTTTAGTGCCACCTGGAGTCCAGGTTTGGGTTGGACAGCTTCCTACTAAGAACTCCATCTTCATATGATTTGAGGACTCAAGTTTACTTTGAAAGAAAAAAAATAGAGTATGTCTTCAAAAATTTGCCCCGCAGGGATGGCTTAGTCAGTTAAGCATCCAGCTTGGGCTTCATTCATGATCTCGTGGTTTGTGGGTTTGGCCCCTGCATCCTGCTCTGCACTAACAGTGTGGAGCCTGCTTGGGATTCTCTCTCTCCCTCTCTCTCTGCCCCTCCCCCACTCACACTTCTGCTCTCTCTCAAAATAAATAAATAAACTTAAAGAAAAAAAAAAGAATTCCTCCCCCCCCCACACTTGAGCAGAGAGCTAGAACCATAAATTAAATATTTAGAAACAAAAGTCTCCTATACAAACAGCACAGTTACTTGGGTACCTATTGAAGGATGACTTTATTTGGTGTATGTCCTCACCAAGACATTGTGGACAGGAGAGGAGGAGAGAATTGTTCTTTTGTATATAAAGCTTCTTATGTGTTGTCCTGGTATTTCTAAGGTCAGCAGTATCACAAGTTGGCAGCTTTTTCTTGAAACTGAGCATTTAAATTCAATTTAGATGTCATATTGGATGGTTTGGGTGTTGCATCCTTATGATGACAATTAAGAACAGTCAGAGTCTGAAATTCATATGGAAAATTGAAGCATAAAACAAGAACCTTACTCTACCCCCTACTAAGGACTCATAGGAAACTGAATAAAAGCATTAGTTATTCCAACTATGAAGGGATGATGATATGTAAAACAATTATAAAGGAAAAGGTCAGTGGATAGTGACTATAAATTTGAAAATGAAAACTATCAAAATTGAACCAGGGAAGTTAAAGAGAAGTATTTGAAAACATGGTATGATGTGTGTATGACAGGTATGACAGAGGATTTAATATCTGTGCTATGTAAAGAAATGATACAAATCCCAAGAAGAGTGCCAAGATGGAAGGGGTGTTAAATAATAAAACCCACCTGAGTAAATATAAAGAGCAAATTGTCTTTATTTAATAATTCATGACTGGGAGGGGGGATGGGCTAAATGGGTAAGGGACATTAAGGAATCTACTCCTGAAATCATTGTTGCACTATGTGATAACTAATTTGAATGTGAATTTAAATAAATGAATAAATACATAATTCATGGTATCCTGTCTAACAAATAGAAAGGAGCTCCCTCAAGCTGCAGGAAAGGAAAGGTTTTTAAAGGGAGAGAGAGAGAGGAAAAAAGGAAATCATTAGCAAAGAATGCATGTTAGGCCAGGATGCTCTCCCAGGGGTAATGCAAAGGGACCCTCAGTGGATTGATTACCCTTGGGTGCTGACCAGGAAATTCCAAGTTGCCTGCCTAAAGGTCACTTTTCTAGGAGAGGGTGAAGCTGCAGGTAGTTCAGGTATTAAGTCTTGGTGGGGTGTAGCATAAGTGACTCCATTTTGGGCTTGCTATCTCTTTTCTAACAATTTTCACTGTTTGATCAGACTCTCAGCTTAACTAAGAGATGTGATCAAAGCATAAGGCGCTAATGCCATGCTCAGCTCTGCAGTTCTCGCAGCTTTTTATGAAGTTTTGTTGCTACTTTCGGTGGTATCCATAGGTCATGACTGATTTTTTGTTTTTGTTTTAATTTCTGTGATATTCATAGGCCACATCTTCAAGGTTTACAATCTTTAAGTTGGTCATTCTCTTCACTCCTTTTCTGATGTTCTTATATTAAGGAGATCATTTTCTTGCTGCTTAGTGGCTGCAAACATGTATTGAGAGCTTTTAAGAGTATATAACGTGCCAGGGAAATTACTAAGATTATTATAAGCAGGGTAATTCCCAATGTCTGGAGTGCATTTCAGACCCAAACCAGTTGAAATCAAAATCAAATAAGTCAGAGAAAGACCCTGTTGAAGGAGTCACCTTTGTAAGCCAAGTCGCTTGCTCAGTGATCTTATGTAATTGAGTTTCAACTTCCCCAAAAGTATTAATTCAGGTGCAGTAGGTGGTTTTGGCCACAGTACAGACAACTCTTTTCTTGGCTAAAATAAAACTAAGGGCTATCCTATTATCAAGTACAACTTTGGCCAAAGAGGCTAAGGATCTTTATTGAGCAGCTGTTGTCTTGGCAATAAATTCTGCACAAACCTTAACCATTAAGGAGAGGCTTCTGATCATATTCTCATTTACACTTACTCCTACCCAGGGAAGTATGACCCTGCCAAAGGAAGTGAGTGTGAGTCATGAATACCTCCTGGTAATTCCTTTCTAACTTGACAGTGTAAATCCAGGGGTGTGGACCATTGAGGTGTGGTAGTTCATTTGTGGTAAGTTCAGTAAGCTAAACTAAGAGTCGTTGACCAGCTTTGTAGGCATTCATAATGATAACCACAACAGACGAAGACAAACTCTGTTGGGGCACATATCACTTCCCACTATGGTGGCGCTGTTAATGGGTTCATTCACAGGGATTGTTTGTATGTGCCTGTTCAAGTCAAAGAGTCAACTAGGTTTCCTCCTTAGCCTAAAATATAAAGTTATTCTCAATAAAGAAACAAGGGCCCTGAATGAGACATTGGATCAGAT